AGCATTTGTGTAGTGTACAATCATCTGTTACACAAGGTGAATGAATGATTTGGCTTACGAGATGCGCTCCTCTTCAGCCGCAGGGGCCCCTGGGAGATGAAGTGACTTTCGGTCTGGAGGGGAGCCTCTCTTTTGTGATGGTGGTGGGCCGGTGGAGCGACTGTGCTGTTGACGCAGCCCTGAGAGCAGCGGGTGTTGGGATTGTTGGCCTGGCATATGATGATTGAGCAGCTGATGAACACCTAGAGAGGGAAGAGAGGAAGATGAAAAGATAAGAGACTGTGACAGAAGGCAGGGTTAAACAGATATATTTATATTTTAATTTACTTGTAGAAAAACTTATTAGACCAAAGAGTTGCTATAAAATGTTCCATTCACATATAATAATGAAATAAAAAGTGTCGTCTATTTAAAATATCAGTTCTTACTAATGCATTGCCATTGCACTTGAATGGAACATAATTAATTAATCAATCAACCAACCACAAATGTGGGGTTAGTAATTTCTTTTTAAGAAATTAAATTTTTTTTTTGGCAATGGCACTCGTACAGCAAGGAATCCTGAAAAAGTTATCATGTTTCCACAAAAGTTTTAAGAAGCAAAACTCTTTTTAATATTGATAACAATTAGAAATGTTTCTTGAGCTGCAAATCAGCATATTTTCTAAAGGATCATGTGACACTGAAGCCTGAAGTAATGATGCTAAAAATCCAACAGGAATAAATTACATTTTAAAATATATTCAAAAAGAAATCGTTTTTGTAAATTGTAATAATTATAAGTAAACAATAACATTGTAATAACAATAAGTAAATTCAAGTAAATTCAGCCTTCCTGAGCATTGATAAGAGGCTTCTTCCAAAAACCTTACTGATCCCAAATTGTAGTTTGTGGGTTGTGTGTGAGTGTGTGTGTGTCTGGAATAAATGTCTCTCTAACCTGGTCATGGAACCCAATGAATTTGAAGGCCTCCATTTCTAACTGGACGAATGGTTGGTGGCTTAAGAAAAACCGAACCGTTTCATCTACAATGCATCTGAAATAAAAAAGCACTTGATTCATTTGTGTGACAAACTGATTAGACAAGTTTTATCATGTAACATTGGCATGAGTAAAAAGTGCAAATGATCAATAATGTTTGTGGAATTTCACCCGTTCTTGATGATGGGATAGGAGACTGGGTAGTTGGGATTATCGTAAGGAGTAGCTACACACGACTCGAGGAAGATCTCAGTGTTTAGGACTGGAGTAACGGGCTCAATCTTCATGAAGATCTTGTCGCCCACATCATACTCAAGTGGGTATGATTCTGGACCCCTGCTGTTCTGGAAATTTGCAGAAGCATAAAACTCAAACTGATAGTTGAATGTGCCGAAACCTTTTTCTGAGAAGATGATTGGTGGTCTGTGAGTATCGAACTCCAGCGTAATGTTGGTCCTTTTCTGGTACTTGCACAGGATTTCAATTTCTAGGTTATCCTTCCTGGTTATAATGTCCCTGGGATCATCGAATGTAATGATTTTATTCTTGAAGATGAGTTCATTATTGTTCTCCTACAAAGAAACAGAAGTTGTCAAATAGTTTAGCTCTGGATTTCACAAGATCTGATTGTAAATGTTGATGATAAAACTGCTCACCTCAATCTGAGTGCCACAGTCGTTTAGAAGTGTGTTGGTGAACAGGTGGCTACTGTTAGTGTAAACCCGACAAGATGGATTTATCAGTCTCAGGTGGTCACCATGGAGGTTTTTGATGGAGGATCTCTTAATTGTCACTGACATTGAGTTTTGAGTGCAGGTTACATTTGCCTCAGGTCCTGAAAATAACAATAACATGCAAATGTATGTTTCATCAGAGCAAAAAATTGGAACAACTTCAAATGAATAAATGTGTAGTGCAAGATAAGTCATTAAAACATGTGGTCTGGTTTCCCAAGAAGATAAATATTGTAAATTTTGAATGCGTTTATTTGCTAAAGGTTAACTTTGTCAACCTTTAGGTGCACACTCGCATACAGATGTTTAAAAGAGACATGGACTAAAAGCCACAAAATGTCAATTTTGATTTCATATAAATCAGTTAATTACTATTACTAGTTAATTATTTATTCATAAGTTAATTTACTTCATGTCACTCATGTATGTCATTGTCATTTGGGTCTGCTTTGTCATAAAAAGGAAATTAATTAAATAATTAAATTAATTAAATTAATAATTACATTCAATTGTTAAACTTATTTACTAACCTTCAGCATCAACCTTTGCAACAACGCACCTCATCTCAGAGTGGTAAATATCAAATCTTAAAATAGAAAGGTTTTTTTAATCAACAATTATAATGTGATTTTAAAGTGGTTAAAAATGAAAAAGTACATTCACTTAGTAAAATATACCCATATTGTCCTTCTGCGATGAAGCAAAATGGAAAGTGTTGGCCATAGTTTTCTGAGGTTGGTGTCCAGTTAATCACATATTCCCCAGTGGTGGTTTTGTACTTTGTGCTGTTCAGAGGTCCACTAATGATGATATCAACGATTCTAGATGACAAAAACCACAACAACAAAACTAAATCATTGATAAACTTAAATAGCGCACATCCATGTTCCAAAACTTATTTTTATTTTCCCCACAGTCAATGGCTGAATTTGGAATAGCATACTATTCTACTGCTATAGCTTTGTATCTGCCAGAAATAATATTAGTATGCAAGACAGAAATATGCTATTCCAAATTCAATTGTTAAAATAAATATAAAAAAATAAACAGTTTATAACATTTAAAGTATTTTTTAAATTAACAGCTTTGTCTTAATACCTAGAAAAAGATGCAAAAGCTTTCACTCTGATCTCAAGCTCTTGATTTACACGTGCCTGCAGGTGTTCTCCATGATGTGGCGTTGGATGGAGGAACCGTGGTAGATATTCACCCTCAGTGCAAGATGGTGCTGGACCATCAACTGAAACATATGTACAGTAAATATTTAATCAAACATATAGTATGGAGGCATACTTTACAAAACATCCAAACATACCTTGCAGAGAAAACTGAAGAGGTATTGCGCTCAGTGGTGAAGTTGTTGTTGTTGCTGCAGTGATTGTTATTGGAGATGTGGTTGTTGTTTGTATAGTAGTGGCAATTGTGGTCATAGTGGGTTCAGGTGTGATTGTTGTTGTGGGTGTAGGTGTTGTGGTTGTTGTTGGTGATGAAGTGGTTGTTGTAGTGGTTGTTGTTGGTAACATAGTGGTTGTTGTAGGTGTTGTGGTTGTTGGTGATGTAGTGGTTGTTGTAGGTGTTGTGGTTGTTGTAGGTGATGTAGTGGTTGTTGTTGGTAAGATAGTGGTTGTTGTAGGTGATGTAGTGGTTGTTGTTGTTGGTAACATAGTGGTTGTTATAGGTGTTGTGGTTGTTGTAGGGGATGTAGTGGTTGCTGTAGGTGTTGTGGTTGTTGTAGGGGATGTAGTGGTTGTTGTAGGTGTTGTGGTTGTTGTAGGTGATGTAGTGGTTGTTGTTGGTAACATAGGGGTTGTTGTAGGTGATGTAGTGGTTGTTGTTGGTAACATAGTGGTTGTTGTAGGTGTTGTGGTTGTTGTAGGTGATGTAGTGGTTGTTGTAGTGGTTGTTGGTAACATAGTGGTTGTTGGTGGTGATGTAGTGGTTGTTGTACGTATTGTTGTTGTTGTCGGTAATGTAGTGGTTGTTGTAGGTGTTGTGGTTGTTGTAGGTGTTGTTGTGGTTGTCGTTGATGTAGTGGTTGTTGTAGGTGTTGTTGTGGTTGTTGGTGATGTAGTGGTTGTTGTTGGTAATGTAGTGGTTGTCGACTGTGACGTTGTGGTTGTTGATGGTGTCGGTGTCGTTGTAGTTGATATCTGTGTTGTTGTGGTTGTTGTACTTGTTGTTGCAGGTGTTGTTGAACGAGTTATTGTAGGTGTTGTAGTGGTTGTTGAACGTTTATGTGCGAATGCTTGAGGTGGTATGGCTGCATTTCCATGTTTATTAGCAGCACGTCGGTTTCTGATGACAAAGACTGGAGATCTTTCCTTTGAAGGTTGGTTGGTGTAGGACAAAATAATCTTTTGAGTGGGGAAGTCCTCCAGCATCAGTTCAAATGAATAAACTCCACGGACCAATGTGTGCGAATATGACAGAGAGCAGTTATGCTATGTTTAGAAGAAAATAAAAAAGTGTGAATGAACTGAAATACTCATGACCCATGGCATACTATTTTCTTACAGCATATACAGAATGTATTTTTATGTAAAGCTTCAGTCATGGGCATATAATTGTTCAGTTAATCGGGCAAATGTGTAAACCCAGACATTAAACACAACTCAAGATATTAAGAGATGAAATAGTTGCTCAAAGGTGTTTGTAAGGAGGACCAATCAAAAAATCTTTTACCGTTAAATTAAGCAATATAAGTCGTGTTCTATCTTATGTTTTTTAATTGATTTGATAGTTTACTGTGTATATGTTTATTTGTATATATTAAGTTCGTAGACTGAACATACTGTCCTCTTCACTTCAGAAATAAATTTGGTTTAGTCCTTCACATGTCTTATTTTCTTCACCTGATTCAACGTAAAACCAGCAGGTTGGTTGCAGATTCCACACTCCTGGTTTTGTCTGAGTCCAAATCTGCATGTGACATGGTCACCATCAGGATCAAAGGCTAAAAGATTGTACCTCCTGGGACAGTTCTGAGGAACTCTGCAACACAAAACAATATGGCAATATTACTGTAGTGTAGAACTGCATGACTTTATCATGTTGCATGCTCATCATGAAAAATAGATACATATACACTATAAGCTTCCATTAATTCTGTTAAACAGCTGATTTACCTGACAAATGGTAGGGTGGTGGTTATTGGCGAACGGTTGGGCTCTGAGGTGTCCGATCTCACTCCGAGGTCAATGTAAGTGAGAAGACTCCAGTCTCCAGAATTTGTGACTGTGTTGTAGATCCAGCAGCAGCTGCTTTTGCTGTTGAAACATGGACATTTCACATTTACATTTTGTTTAGATCTTTTTTTAGTGAACGATTCTGTTCTTGTAAATATATTTACTTACAGGAGCTGGAAAGGGCTGTTGGTGGAAACCATCTTTGTTATCACTCCCTCAGACTGACACCAGCTGCCGCCGTTGGGACTTGAATCTACTTGACCAATCACAGTACTGACATCCTTTCCACAGTCTCCAGAGCTGCACGGCCAGTAATCATATCCATAACAGGAATGGTAGGTTGTCTTGAAGCGAAGCTCAACCTGAAATAATCAATGGTTTATAATATGACTAAAGTAAGTTCTTGCTCTCAAAATCTGCTACTAAGGAGTGCAAACATTTTTGAATTATACTACTTTATAAAATGGATTTACAATTTGGTGGTGAAGATGGAACTGACAGTCTGTTGAGTGTGATTTAAAAAAAACTTATTCATTAAGTAATATTTATTGAAGATTTCATACATTCAAATGGTATGTTGACCGTATTTTTTGACATGTATGTTTTGCAAAAGAACTGCAAAACTTAGCCACTGAACCACTGTAATGGGTGGAATTTGGCAATTCCCACAATTCGCACTTTACGAATTGAATTACTGTATGCTTGGGTACATATGAAGTGCATATTCATTTAGTTTTTTTCAAATTGATTTTTGCGTTAAAAAACATTGTGTTTTGTGATTAGCTTTCCTTAAAGTGTCTTCAGTTTTGTTGAATGCATTTACAAAACTGTCAGCCATATTCATGTTTAACTCAAACAAAATAGTACTGACTCAATCAACATATATATGTTTAGCCAAAATGCATGTTCATCGAATATAAATACTAAAAACACAATGATGAGTCAACATACAACAATTAACGAAACCAGCTGCAAAGCATATTGAGTTACAAAACTTTTTGCAACACAAAAATGTACTATATGGATCTCATTTCTTAAAGTGGCCATTCATTTAACTCTTTTAACAACCTTATAAAGACTATTCAGGCATGCTTAAAGAAGAAGGTTAAATTGGCTAAATACACTCACAGAAAAAAAAGGTACAAAAAGGGTGAAAACCTTTAAAAAGGAACACATTTGTACCTTATTTACCCTTAAATGGTACATAAGTACCTTAATGGTATGTATTAGTACCTAACATGTACATACTATTACTTTAATGGTACAGATTTACAAATGAATAAAGGTACTGAACTACTGACAGCCTTTGTACCCTTTTCTGAGTGTATGTACATTTTGAGTTAGCAACCAGTCTAACTGGTTGAAGTTACAATACCTAAGTAGGCCGATTAAAAATGCATAATGTCAAATGCATAAATGTGAAATGCAAATAAATGCATACATTTATAAATGTCATTTGTTTTACAGTGCATCATAATTAACCCCAACAATGACTGTGGCTGCTATTGATACAGTTATAATTCAGGATTTCTTACCTTGTACGATCCATCTTGATTCCTTCTTGGGTTGAAGGTCATTGAGCCTCCATAGAAGTGTGAAGCTGTTGCTGTGGTGACCAGCAGAAGCTCGGCCAAGAGCAGAGAGGTGAGAGACATGCTGATCAGTGCTGATGTCTTCTGCATCTGGGAACAGCTTTCTGTTTTAATGTACCTGATGGAAGAAATGACAGGTGATGATCTGTCATTAATTCCAGAAAAGGAAAACACAGAATAGCCATCTTAGTTTTAATTACTGCTAAAAAAATTATTGGCATTTACGTTTTCTTTTCATGTCTTTGTGGTTGGACACACCACTGTGACCACAAGTTTTAATCAAAACTGAAATCTGTTAATGTAGCATATACAAACATATACAAGTGAAATATGTTAACATAGCATATACAAACATATACAAGTGAAATATGTGACTATAGCATATACTGCACTTTTATATCTTGCTAGAAGGAATAAGCACATTTTATTTGTATTATTTGCACAAACATTTCAATTGCATGTGCGAAAGAATGCAACCACAAACTGGTTTGGATAGTTTGTCTGGCTTTGTTTCATAGAGGAGTTGTCTTTTAAATGATTTTTTAAGACTTCCTGAACTTCCTTTTAGCGCATGTTTATGGTATTTTGACTGTGCTCATAATGTCAATCATCAGCTTTACATGGGGATGAATAAAACATATTAAGATCTTAAACTAAATCCCCATATCTGTATTAAGAAAACTAACTTTTAAGATTAAAAAAGAATATGACACGTATTTTTTTAAATAAATACAAATCTGTATGTAAAGCATGGTTTTTCAGAATCAGAATCAGAATTAGCTTTATTCGCCAGGTGTGCGCAAACACACGAGGAATTTGTTGTGGTTTTTTAAGGTGCTCCTTGTACATACATACATGCATACATACACATCTGACATGAGCACAGAAAAACATTTAAATAGAAAGACTTAACTATAAATAATAGTAATGTGTATTCATCTTTAACAGTAGATTTATGTACAGATTTGTGTATTATTTACTCTATATACAGCTGTATAAATAAAGGGATATGCATACGTATTTACATAATACTTAAGAAAGAGGCAATAATTAAAGATGAAGAATAAATTACAGAACACAGGTAATGATTGGGGAAAAACTGTTTTTATGCCTAGATGTTCTAGTGCACATCTAGTGCACATTTAAACAACGTGCACTAGGCTGTTAGCGAATCACAACACACTGGGCCAGCTAACCAATCTGAGCCCATTGTGTATTTCTGAGGGAGAAGCTTCATAGAGCCATGAAGTCAACAAACTGTTTTTAGGAGAATAGAAACAGCGGTGTAGAGTAAAGGTAAAATATGTGAAATATAATGTGATTTTTTTTTCAAAATGAAGCATGAACACATTACAGTGCACCCCATAAACACGATGAAGCCTTAGAAAATAACTGATTGACCACCCCTTTAATATGCAAAGTGAGACAACATGTTGTTAGCCAGTAATTGCAGTTCAAATCAGGATTATTATAGTTAATGAAAACTGAAAGTAAAACCATATATAAAAAGTTACTTGAAATAAAATAAGCATTAACTTATTTAAAATACATTATTTTTTGCAAGTTCAAGTATTTTTGAAATTATTTTATTTTAGCTAGCTGCCAAGGAAACATTTCTGAAATAAAATAATATGAAAATGTCATGTTCATGTTAAAGAAAACAGAAACTAATAACAATGACAAAAACACAACAACATTACTAAAACTTTAGATGAAAGAGTTTTTAGATGAAACATTAAAAAATGTAGATAAAAGAAGAAAATATATAGCATCTCAGTGATACTAAACTACTGGTTCACCTGCATTCATCTATTTGTTTAATGCTCCTGACAGGGTTTATTAAATGCTTAAGGGTTCATGACAGATGAGTTTGTTCTGCAGTTTTTCCTTCAGATGATTGCCAGTCATGCACTTGTTTTCACACCTCACTTAAAAACATTTAGATTTTTTTTTTCAGAGAAGTAGCCAAATGGCAGGAGAATGACAACAACACTGTAATCACTTCTCTCTTCTAGCCAAAGGATCTCATCTTTCAAAAAATCAACATCTGAAACATGAAACTGTTTTATACACAGTTTGTCATAGTTTATAAGAATCAAGGCATGTTTTCATGAAGAATTGCCAACATACACCAACATAATACATAGAATTAAAACAGATTTAATTACATATAAAATTGCAAAAACATCTGAATATATGGGGAAAAAGAGACTTCTCGTTTGCTCCCCAAACTAAAGTGTGACTGCTGATATATTCTGAATCTTTTTTGAACTCACATTACTTACTGAAAATGATTACAGAAGAAAGAAAAGCACATTTTGCCCATATATTTGCATCACAGTTTTTGAAAGCACTCCAACAATCTTGCTACTTCTCTGTTTTCCAGGGAAAAATAGAGCATTATGCTTTGAAAAATAAACAACAGAGCTGACATGACTAAAAGTCGTGTGATGGAACGGGTTTGTATCTGATCCTTTGCCCTCTGGCTCTGTAGACGATCACTCCACACACCATGGCTACTGTTGCCACAAGACAAACAGTGACGACAACAAGGTTTAGATTCAGACCCGGGCTTACGGTGACCTCTGAAATGTGAGTAAAGGTTGAAACGGTTAACAGCATTTGTGTAGTGTACAATCATCTGTTACACAAGGTGAATGAACGATTTGGCTTACGAGATGCGCTCCTCTTCAGCCGCAGGGGCCCCTGGGAGATGAAGTGACTGTCGGTCTGGAGGGGAGCCTCTCTTTTGTGATGGTGGTGGGCCGGTGGAGCGACTGTGCTGTTGACGCAGCCCTGAGAGCAGCGGGTGTTGGGATTGTTGGCCTGGCATATGATGATTGAGCAGCTGATGAAGACCTAGAGAGGGAAGAGAGGAAGATGAAAAGATAAGAGACTGTGACAGAAGGCAGGGTTAAACAGAAATATTTACAGTATATTTTAATTTACTTACAGATGCGCTGTATTCTCAATGTCAGAGTATATGAGAGAAAACGCTTAAAGGGATCATTCACTTTCAGTTGCTGGTCCCCATTGAATTTCATAGTGTTTTTCCCATACTATGGAAGTCAGTGGGGACCAGCAATTGAAGGTGAACTATCACTTTAAAATCATGTTAACAACCCATAATGCAACTGCATGACAGCAAAAAGTCATCACATGTTAAAAACAGTGTCACTAGACCATTTGCTGTTGGAATGAATGATGAAATGTTTGACATATTATTAAAAAATGACAATAAGCGCAAGCTAGGAGGTGACCAAAGAGTTGATGTAAAATGTTCCATTCACATAATAAAATTAAATGTGTCCTCTATTTAAAATTTAATTTGCATCGCCCTCACATTTGTATGGAACATATTGTGCCCAGATAATTAATTAATTAATCAATCAACCAAAAATGTGGGGTTAGTAATTTCTTTTTAAGAAATTATGATTTTTATTTGGCAAAGACACTTTATATTCATCAACATGACAGTAAAGATTTCTATTTCAAATAAATGCTGAAGCAATATGGAAGGAATCCTGAAAAGATTATAATGTTTCCACAAAATAGCAAAACTGTTTTCAATATTGATAATAATCAGAAATGTTTTTTTTAGCAGCAAATCAGCATATTAGAATGATTTCTGAAGGATCATGTGACACTAAAGACTGGAGTAATGATGCTGAAAATTCATCACAGGAATAAACAACATTTTAAAATATATTCAAAAAGAAAACAAATATTTGGAATTGTAATAATATTTCACAATATTTTTGTTTCTACTGTAATTTTGATCAAGTAAATTCAGCCTTCCTGAGCACTGATAAGAGGCTTCTTCCAAAAACCTTACTGATCCCAAATTGTAGTTTGTGGGTTGTGTGTGAGTGTGTGTGTGTCTGGAATAAATGTCTCTCTAACCTGGTCATGGAACCCAATGAATTTGAAGGCCTCCATTTCTAACTGGACGAATGGTTGGTGGCTTAAGAAAAACCGAACCGTTTCATCCACAATGCATCTGAAATACAAAAGCACTTGATTCATTTGTGTGACAAACTGATTAGACAAGTTTTATCATGTAACATTGGCATGAGTAAAAAGTGCAAATGATCAATAATGTTTGTGGAATTTCACCCGTTCTTGATGATGGGATAGGAGACTGGGTAGTTGGGATTATCGTAAGGAGTAGCTACACACGACTCGAGGAAGATCTCAGTGTTTAGGACTGGAGTAACGGGCTCAATCTTCATGAAGATCTTGTCGCCCACATCATACTCAAGTGGGTATGATTCTGGACCCCTGCTGTTCTGGAAATTTGCAGAAGCATAAAACTCAAACTGATAGTTGAATGTGCCGAAACCTTTTTCTGAGAAGATGATTGGTGGTCTGTGAGTATCGAACTCCAGCGTAACATTGGTCCTTTTCTGGTACTTGCACAGGATTTCAATTTCTAGGTTATCCTTCCTGGTTATAATGTCCCTGGGATCATCGAATGTAATGATTTTATTCTTGAAGATGAGTTCATTATTGTTCTCCTACAAAGAAACAGAAGTTGTCAAATAGTTTAGCTCTGGATTTCACAAGATCTGATTGTAAATGTTGATGATAAAACTGCTCACCTCAATCTGAGTGCCACAGTCGTTTAGAAGTGTGTTGGTGAACAGGTGGCTACTGTTAGTGTAAACCCGACAAGATGGATTTATCAGTCTCAGGTGGTCACCATGGAGGTTTTTGATGGAGGATCTCTTAATTGTCACTGACATTGAGTTTTGAGTGCAGGTTACATTTGCCTCAGGTCCTGAAAATAGCATTAATAATCATAGCTATACAAATGTACATATTTCTTCTGAGCAGGATATTTAAACACCTTCTTCAAATGGGAGAGGACAAGTGTCTTGTGCAAGATGAGTCATTAAAACATGTGGTCTGGTTTCCCAGAAGGTAAACATTGTACATTTTAAATGTGTATATTTGCTAAAGGTTAATTTTGTCAACTTTTAGGTGCACACTAGCATATTGATGATTTTAAAGATAATATGGACTAAAATCCACAATATGTCAATTTTTATTTCATATAAATAAGTTAATGACATTTTTCTTTCATAATTTAATTAATTTCACTCATGAATGCCATTATCATTTGGGTCTGCATTATCATAAAACGGAATTAAATGAACTGATTTACCCACCTTTACCATTCACCTTTGCAACAACGCACCTCATCTCAGAGTGGTAAATATTAGATCTTAAAATAGAAAGGTTTTTTTATCAGCTATCATAATGTGATTTTAAAGTGGTAAAAAAAATGAAAAAGTACATTCACTTAGTAAAATATACCCATATTGTCCTTCTGCGATGAAGCAAAATGGAAAGTGTTGGCCATAGTTTTCTGAGGTTGGTGTCCAGTTAATCACATATTCCCCAGTGGTGGTTTTGTACTTTGTGCTGTTCAGAGGTCCACTAATGATGATATCAACGATTCTAGATGACAAAAACCACAACAACAAAACAAAAACTTTGAGAAATTTAAGTAGTGCACAACCATGTTCCAAAATGTCAATTTTACAATGACTAGCCATCATAGAGTTTGTCCTGTGTACCTCTATAACCTTTTGTTTTATTTATTTTTGGGCAGCTACTAATTTGGACAGGAATAGGCTACAACAGGCTACTGGTGTGGACTTCTATATCTGGGCAAAACCATCAAAGACACCAAAAACTCTTTGAACTCCTGGCCTCTGGTAGGCGCTACAGAGCACTGCACACCAATACAATGGCTGAATTTGGAATAACATACTATTCTACTGCTCTTACTGTCATAGCTTTATATCTGCCAGAAATAATATAAGTAGTATGCATGACAGAAATATGTTGTAGTATGCTAATATGCTATTCAAAATTCAATTTAAAAACAGTGTCTACATTTTTAATTTTTAATTTTTTAATAAAAAGTTTTTTCTTAATACCTTGAAAAAGATGCAGAAGCTTTCACTCTGATCTCAAGCTCTTGATTTACACGTGCCTGCAGGTGTTCTCCATGATGTGGCGTTGGATGGAGGAACCGTGGTAGATATTCACCCTCAGTGCAAGATGGTGCTGGACCATCAACTGAAACATATGCACAGCATATATTTAATCAAACATAGTAGGATAATTCTGAAGCATACTTTAGACTAAACTTCCAAATATACCTTGAAGCGAAAACTGAAGAGGTATTTTGCTCAGGGCCAAAGTTGTTGTTGTTGTCGTTGCAGTGGTTGTTATTGGAAATGTGGTTGACGTTTGTGTAGTAGTAGTGGCTATTGTTGTTGTAGTAAGTTCAGATGTGGTCATTGTGGTTGAATCAGTTGTTGTGGTGGTTGACTCAGTTGTTGTTGTGGTTGAATCAGTTGTTGTGGTTGTAGGTGTCGCTGTGGTTGACTCAGTTGTTGTTGTGGTTGGATCAGTTGTTGTTGGTGTCATAGTGGTTGACTCAGTTGTTGTTGTGGTTGACTCAGTTGTTGTTGTGGTTGGATCAGTTGTTGTTGGTGTCATAGTGGTTGACTCAGTTGTTGTTGTGGTTGACTCAGTTGTTGTTGTGGTTGGATCAGTTGTTGTTGGTGTCATAGTGGTTGACTCAGTTGTTGTTGTGGTTGACTCAGTTGTTGTTGTGGTTGGATCAGTTGTTGTTGGTGTCATAGTGGTTGACTCAGTTGTTGTTGTGGTTGACTCAGTTGTTGTTGTGGTTGGATCAGTTGTTGTTGGTGTCATAGTGGTTGACTCAGTTGTTGTTGTGGTTGACTCAGTTGTTGTTGTGGTTGGATCAGTTGTTGTTGGTGTCATAGTGGTTGACTCAGTTGTTGTTGTGGTTGACTCAGTTGTTGTTGTGGTTGGATCAGTTGTTGTTGGTGTCATAGTGGTTGACTCAGTTGTTGTTGTGGTTGACTCAGTTGTTGTTGTGGTTGGATCAGTTGTTGTTGGTGTCATAGTGGTTGACTCAGTTGTTGTTGTGGTTGACTCAGTTGTTGTTGTGGTTGGATCAGTTGTTGTTGGTGTCATAGTGGTTGACTCAGTTGTTGTTGTGGTTGACTCAGTTGTTGTTGTGGTTGGATCAGTTGTTGTTGGTGTCATAGTGGTTGACTCAGTTGTTGTTGTGGTTGACTCAGTTGTTGTTGTGGTTGGATCATTTGTTGTTGTGGTTGTAGGTGTCCTTGTGGTTGACTCATCTGTCATTGAGGTTGAATCAGTTGTTGTAGTTGTAGGTGTCATAGTGGTTGTTCCATAATAATCAGTAGCACGTCGGCTTCTAATTAAACTGATGGGAAATTTTTCCTTTGAAGGTTGGTTGGTGTAGGACAGAGTAATCTTGCGAATGGGGAAATCCTCCAGCACCAGCTCAAAAGAATAAACTCCACGGACCGATGTGTGTGAATATGACAGAGAACAGTTATGCTACATTTGGAAGAAAATAAAAGAGTGTGAATGAAAAATGAAAGATGTAACTGTAATACTTAAAGCTGCAGTCCTTAAGTTTTGCCTCTTTGTCGCCATCTCTGTTTGAAAACCTGCAATTGCAGCTGTGTGCGGAATTATCTTCCTTGCGTGGGTTGTGCGCCGGCGTGGCTCCAGTGCGGATTAACCTAATGTTTTGAGGAGTATGTGTGGCAGTCAGTCACCACACCGGTGTGGATATTGTACTTTGCACTCACAGATTCTAGCCTACGTCTTGGAATATATGATTCAACTAAGCATTTTCACCGGATATTGTCATCTGAACAAGTAACAAGTCTGCCACGTTTGTTCTGACCAACTGAGGAAAAAGCATTATAATAAATCGCGCTACCAATGGTGATTTAATCTAAATTAGCTCATATCACATCAAACCGTGCAAATTATTATTATTGTTATACTTTATAATCAAATTGTTAATGTTAACAACATCAGCATTGCGTGACTATGAGTATAGTGTGTATAAGCGAGTAGATTTCAATTTCTGTATAGTCTAATCTCTAATTGTCATACCATTCGAATTTCATATTAAGAAATTGTTTTAACCCAAAAAGCAAATTATGCTCCCTTCGAACTAGTTGTCTTTAAAATACAAATCTTGTGTAATCCCAGGCTATCTGTAATCAGAAGCACATTTAAAACTGGAATAAAATTAAATTTCATTCACATGTGTTTCATAAACACATAATCCTTTATGGATTACAATCCGCCATCAAAATGATACATTTAATTATTCCAGCTGCTGTGAGAAAAGGCTATAAACGATCGCCACGTGCAGGATCCTCACATGCGATAGGCTAGTAGCCGGGACAACTTCTTCATGTTTACAGACGTGACGTAATGACGCAGTGGCATGCTCGAATTTCCCACGAAAACCTACCCCTACCACTCAAATTAGAAAACATTATTTTAAGCTGACCGTTGTGAATCGGGCTAAAGTAAGGCGATAGTTTTGAACACTGGCTGGTTATGTACTTGCTCAAACATTGATTTCGGATCATTTTTAACCAAAAAAAGTTACAGACTGCAGCTTTAAGTAAAATACTTGTGTGTAGTTCATCGGGCAAATATGTACATGTGTAAACCCAGTCATAAGACAACAGGCTATCAAGAGTTGAAATAGTTGCTCAAAGGTGTTAATATACTTGCAGTGTTTTATCTAAATTATATTTTTCAAAGGATTTCATAGTTTACTGTATATATGTATGTTTATATATACATGTAGTTCTTACACTGACCATACCCTCCTCATATCTGAAATACATTTTATGTCCCTGGTTTAGTCATTCTTAATAATTTTTTTTCACCTGATTCAACGTAAAACCAGCAGGTTGGTTGCAGATTCCACACTCCTGGTTTTGTCTGAGTCCAAATCTGCATGTGACATGGTCACCATCAGGATCAAAGGCTAAAAGTTTGTACCTGCTGGGACAGTTCTGAGGAACTCTGCAACACAAAACAATATGGCAATATTACTGTAGTGTAGAACTGCATGACTTTATCATGTTGCATGCACATCATGAAAAATAGATAAATATACACTATAAGCTTCCATTAATTCTGTTAAACAGCTGATTTACCTGACAAATGGTAGGGTGGTGGTTATTGGCGAACGGTTGGGCTCTGAGGTGTCCGATCTCACACCGAGGTCAATGTAAGTCAGAAGACTCCAGTCTCCAAAATGTGTGACTGTGTTGTAGATCCAGCAGCAGCTGCTTTTGCTATTGTAACATATAGACATTTAATATTTGCATTTTGTTCAGATCTGCATTGTTAGTGAACGATTCTGTTCTTGTAAATATATTTACTTACAGGAGCTGGAAAGGGCTGTTGGTGGAAACCATCTTTGTTATCCCTCCCTCAGACTGACACCAGCTGCCGCCGTTGGGACTTGAATCTACTTTACCAATCACAGTACTGACATCATTTCCACAGTCTCCAGAGCTGCACGGCCAGTAATCATATCCATAACAGGAATGGTAGGTTGTCTTGAAGCGAAGCTCAACCTGAAATGTTTTAATTATAGTTTGACTTAAGTAAGTTCTTAAGCTTATGTGGTGGCTGTTAAAATTTACTTCTAAGAAGTCATCTTTGAATTGTGCTATAAAACACTACACTGCAGGGTCGGAAATTAATGAGGGCTTTATTATTATGGCTGTCACGATTAAAGTGGAATGTAAAATGAATGAAAAGTGTCGATTGCGGCATTGCAATTTACAGAAGATTTGCTTAAGTTGCATCAGCTTTTTTTTACGCACATTTTTTCAGCATTGAGCATTATAACCGATCACACACATTTCTGTTGAGCTTATGAATGCAGTGTCTAATCAGAGGCATTTTTGATTCGTCACTGCGGAGAATGCTGGATTTCTGATGCACTCAGTGACAGAATTCTGAATCTGCATTCGCAAATTCTCTCATCGTAAACATCAAAGTGCAGAAAAGATGCAAGTAAGAGAACTATTTTGCAGTGTAGACAGCTTCGGTGATTATTACGGGTGTTTTTACGAAAGGACATATATCGCCAGGAGCCACGAGTATCAATTTTGTGTTCCTTGATACGCTTTTTTTTTATTCTCAAAATATATGTAAAACATGGTTTGGAAGCAGTGGCGGAGTTTGGTTCGGTGTAAGTATCTCAAATCAGATAAAAGAGGAAATCCATGGAAAATGACCTGAAATTGTTAGTTACATTTCTGTACAATATCACTATTTATACTCTGAAATATTTGTCAAATATTTTTGAATAATGACAGCTAAATATAATGTTTGTTTAACTGTATAGTTTGCACATTTTTAATCGTTTTTCTTACAAAGCAAGTGAGACATATTGTTACTTAACCAGTAATTTAATGCACGGTTATTATAGTTAACTAAAATTAAAACCATAAAAATGTTGTTACATGAAATAAAATAAGCATGAACTGAAATAAAATTATATATATATTAATATATATGTGTGTGTGTGTGTGTATATATATATATATATATATATATATACACACACACACACACACACACACACACACACACTACCAGTGAAAAGTTTTTGAACAGTGAGATTTTTAATGTTTTTAAAGAAGTCTCTTCTGCTCACCAAGCCTGCATTTATTTGATCTAAAGTACAGCAAAAACAGTAAATTTTAAAAAATATTTTTACTATTTAAAATAACTGTTTTCTGTTTGAAAATATTTTAAAATGTAATTTTTACTATTCATCAGAGAAACCTGAAAAATTCTACTCAGTTGTTTTCAACATAATAATAAAAAAGTTTCTTGAACAGCAAATCAGCATATTACAATGATTTATTTGTTTATACTTTATTTATACTATTTTATTTTAGCTAGTTGCCAAGAAACATTTCTTATTTTCATTTAGTGTAACTACAGTTTGCCCTAAAATAACTAAACATTGAAATAAAATGAAAAACTACACTGTAAATTTTTTTCCTAAGTTTTAAATAAAATACGACGACTGACATACATTTTACAAGATCATATAATACCAGTCTTACTACTTCAAAATTTCATACTTAACCTCTTAAGACCCGGCAAAACATTTTAGGAAAAAAATATATTTTTTTCATGTCATTAAAAATGTTAAATGATATTTCATTCTTAAGTTATGCTACGTCCTTGGTAGAGGACATTGGGACTCAATTTCCTTAAAAAAAATACAAAGACATGAATGAACATGAATAAGCAAAAACAATAGATTTTTTTAAAATCACCAATACATTTTTAGTTTTCAGGATTTTTTTTTTTTACCAAACTTTGTATAAAGATAATTCTCAACTAACATAATGATTTGATATGCCATTTTTCTTCATGCAAAATGTGTGTAAAATGGCCATAAACAGGTTTTCTCATTATATATAATGTATCTATAAACTAAATTAAATTTGCATATTAATGTGTTTTTGGGGCTACATTAATTTGGGGAATTCTTTCCCTATTCATTTGTTATGTCTCCCAAAATGTGTAATAAACATGCTTTTAGTCCCGGTGTCCTCATATGAGGACATGTATGAAATCAATGGCCTGTTTCATAACAGAAAGTTATATTTGGATTTGAAACCCCATAACATTTTCCTGACATG